ATATGAAGTGGCTCGGTATCACCGATGTGTCAAAACGATGTGTTATGCAATTAATTTTGAATTATTGACTTTCCCTTTATTCATGAGGATCAGCCAAGGAATAGTTTATGAAAAAGCAAATATGACAAGAGCGCTCTTAAATTAAGTTTTATTTGATAAAGAGTTTAACGATAAGGACCGGGATGCGGAAAACCCTTATCTTATAGACGTGATCCGATCGCGAAATACATATCATCACTTAAAAAAAACCGACCCGTCAATTATTTTAGGCTGCCTTGAATCGGCGGTAAAGAGAAGCAAATAAATAAACATTGAAAACGATAGTAAAGACCGAGTTAATTTGGGTGGTCAGGTGGTAGCAGATTTAAGAGACAAGGTACAATTAAAAAAAAAAAAAAAAACATTTTATCAATGCATTTCAGTTTCTTTGTCGTCAGTTGTCAGAAATTGAATTCAGTGTTTGTGGGTTACCAAACGCCAAATATCGTTCTCCAGTAAATAAAAAATGGTGTTTTTCAACTCATAAAGTTCTCATGTTTGACTTTGAGCCTGTGAGATTGTCTGAAAAAACGGTACTTAGCCCGAGTAAAGCTTAGATGGTAGAGGTGCCTGTGGAGAATAGTGATCAGGTTTGAACAATTTTTTTTTTAGATAAAAAAAGATCGTATGCTTTTTGTAACTACAGATGATTTGAGAAATCATAGTCCAAATGATAGATGTTTCAATCCTAGTGCGTGGCGAAACTATTCGATGGAATTATTAAAGAGGATGACTTCTGCTTGATCCTTTCTTTATAGAGGATTGAATGGCTGAATATATCTAAGTCATCTATAGCACTTTACCCAGTTGAATTACTTCACTAACATTTACGCTTGTGAAATAAAAATTAATAAAACCCTAAGAAAAATAACAAGTCCAGAAAAAAAATACAAATTTTGCTGTTGTTGACTTATTAGAAGATCATATTTACCTTATTTATGGAGACTAGCTGTTACCTAAAGTGCCCTATCTAAATCAAGATTTATGTGCAAGCAAACATGGCACGGTTAGATTAATAACGAATTTATTTTTCGTTTGGCCACAATTTAGAAGGCGTAACAAACGATTTGCCTTTGCCAGCAGTTATTGTTCTTTTCATTATTTCAAAACAAAAACGGGCGACTTAAACCACTTTTAAAGCCTCTATCAGATTTTGCATCACTACAGCTTATTTCATATTTCCACGAATATTATTAGAACTCGAGTTCCTTTTAAAAAGTTGATTCCAATTCGCCAGTTTTCGTTTTAAGTACAGGTACTTTTTTGCTTACATGCCGTGCCGTAGACTTTAGGAGGTTGTTGATTCTTGGAGATTTTTGTCAAATTTTAATTCATTTGAATGTGTTCCCCTTGAATTTTTTTGGAGCACATCAACCAGAGACCTGTCGACACCCAATAGAATAAAATTAACAGATCTGTTAATGGAAGCCCTTTGACTGAAGCCACTTTCATTTTGAGCTTTATTTTTCTTGCCTTTAATGGCTCAGGTATATAAAAATAATACGCTCCGGAAAGAAAAGATCAAGCTAGAATTCTTCATTGTGATAGTTCCAAAAGTTTTATCACTACCCACACTATGACTTTACCGTTGGTTGTTTTGACTTAGATGTTTATGTTCGGTTTCTGCTAAGACCATGCAAACTATTTTTCAGTTATGAAGCCTTAATTCACACACGTCTCATCAATGTTCTCCATGGACCAGACAGAGTAACATTCAATGTTAAATCACCTGCAAGCTCTAAATTTAAAAGTTTGTCCTCTCTTGTGAGCCATGGGAATAAAAACAAGGAGATAGTATGATTTAGTTTACTTTAATTTCCCACGAATGTCAGGTAAACATTTCACGACATCAGTAGAAGCGTTACCCATCCGAATTAACTGAGACTGCGGCAGCAGCTACTGTTTACCTTTCGCATCTTGAGGTTAAAATCATCAGAAAACTTTAATTTAGGGATCATCAGGGGCTGAGGAATGGTACAGATTTCTTGATAAACCAAACTGTATCGAAAACAATGAAGAGCAGTTAACCTTGAACAACTCATTGTAACAGCAGCTGTCTAAGCTGGCCCCTACCATGTCAACTCGCTCAAATCAAACGTAATAAAGGAAAGTGTTTACTATATTTGCTTTCTCATCAATGCTATTCCTTAATCAATCCTCCTAGATAACGACAAGCCCTACTCTTCAAATTAGTCGTATAGCACATAGTTCTTACACCTTAGTGATACCGAGCCTCCGCCTTTTTTTCAAAATGAATTTCCGTTTTATAAGTGATCAGCTGTATAAAAAGCACACTGTTCTATTTAAGAAAGCGCTTCCCGAATCATTCTACTCGCAGTCGATCCCTGTAGCAGAAAAAGGCAATATGAAGGTCGCATCGTCTCTAATTCTTTGCCTGGCATTCGCCTTCGTGGTAAATTCCTTGAGAGAAGAAGACTTAAGCTTTTTGGAGGACGACATTTTGAGAGATGAAACTGACAGTAACAAACGTTTTCTTTTCAAAAAGAGGGTAAGTGTTATCAGTTAGCAATGAAGAAAAATCTCAAACCAATAATGATAATATTGACCCGAGGGTTGGCTTTGCCGATTCAAAAAGAAGGAAAACTTAATTCAAGTCAGGTTTATATCTTAGGAAAAACAACTCGTCTTTTTTGGATCTAATTGTATTGTTATTTATCATCTAGAAAGGCAAACAGTATTGCCAGCTGTTCCTGAATACAGATAAGCAAGATCTTTAAACACTTAAAACGAATTATTTAGCTGAATCAAAGAATAAGTGCGTTATCAGACAATGTAAATGTATATGGAGTCACTATTAGCCTCATAGGCAGAAGGTTTCCAAGGGGAGAGTATAAACGATAATGGGAGTGCTGAAGGAATGAAGAGGAAAAACATGAAACCTCCTTTCCGTTCCTCTCGCCTACTTCTTTTCTTCAGGCGTCGTTACGCCAACCAAACTATGACAAATAGCTTAATGTATATTATCTTAGCTGAACGGTTTTTCCGCTTTATGCTGAAAGCAAAAGCAAATTCAATGTCAATGTTTCAAGATATTGTGTTAACTCCTGTTATTAAATGTCTTCAAGTCCGCTCAAGAAGCCCCTGTCCTCTTTTCATTTTCAGTGTTCCACCGATGCAGACTGTTCGACTGGTCAGTGCTGTTTCCAAAAATTCGGTTACACCAAGTGCTTGGCAAGAAAGGGAGAGGGCAGGATCTGTCATCCTTCCTCTGTAAGTAAAACTCAATCCCTCCTTTCAGTGATTCGGTGTGGATTAGGCTTTTTCTATCGGAGGTGCTATGTGCCAAATGATTGATCATACATTTAAATCTTAAAGAATTTTAAAAAATGAGAGATTGTTTACGCAAAAATTAATTAATAAGCGTATTTTAACACCTGGTGGTAGGATAATCCTCTAACTTTAGAATTCCCCTTCCTAGAAAATAATAATGTTGAGAGCTGTGTGGAGCTAAAATAAAAGTAAGGGAGAACAATTCATTTATCGTGTTTATGGGGAATTTATAGTCTCTTAACTTCATCTTACAACAGCATATTATGTATCCTGTGGCTTTTCTTTATAGCTCAAGGGTAGAGCATCTATAAGTGCATGATTGGAACTTTCCTTGCGATGGCAAGTTTCTTTGTAAAAGACCGTACCATACCATGCTTACGAAAAAGGTCCTTCTCAGTCTTTGCCGCATGGTGTGGATATGTGGGTAAAGTTGAGGCTGTTATTGAAATCCAAATCTACCTTCTCACGCCTTACAGTTCTATAACCATGCTTGTGTTTTGTCTTTAAACAGAAATGCTTTTGGAAATGCCAAGAAGGACTGGAATGTCAACGGAGTTTTGGAATTGGTAGTTTTGCTGTCTACAAATGTGCTCAGCCGACGGAGCCCGGCTCAAGTGATATCGATATGTAGATTGACAACACTGAATTGACACAGAATTTATGGTGGTTAAAGAAGTCAATGACTTTTTAAACTGTTAAATAAAAAAACATGAAAACAAAAATCATGTATCTTCTCCTAACTCAAAAACGCTTAGACCAAATTACACAGAAGAAAACTATTCTCTTTGAGAATTTGTTTTTTATTGTATTTCCTAACCCTTCTTAAAAAGGTTTAACCTATTTTGGTATATGAATTATGAATGTATGCTATATGGTCAAGTGTGAACAAAGTTCAAGGACATCATTCTTCTCGGGCTGTGAAAATGGCAATTCAGCCAAAATACGTGCACGCGGATAAAACCGCGCAACTCCTCTCTGCAAGTGGGATCTGAAGGCTGATATGCACAGGATCTGAGGAAATTTTAGACTTAGATCGTTGGCTTGTTATATCAGGTGTTTCATTATTTATTTTAACCTCGAAGTCGTATTTAGCGTTGTCCATTTGAGGTAATCAATCGCTATTGCACTGTGGTAGACCATGGGGTCAGTGAAATGTACCGACCCTCGTCATAAATGTTTGGGACTTTGAGTACAAAATCAAATATTTCCTCACTATCTAGAGGGGATGGCTGCCGGCACAAACGTTAGGAAAGCCCTGCGAGAAAGGGTAAGCACCTTTAACAGCTCAGAACTCGATAAAAGCTCCTCAAAACAAGCCACCCAAGATTTGTAACCCCGGAAATAATTATTTCGTGCTGGTGTACATTCTTCTACAGGGGGAGATAGTGTTATACGAATGACTTCATGAATATGAGTACATAGAACGGGTCACCTAAGAAAATGCCATACTACGTAGTAATATGCGGGTTTTGACGATTTGACATGTGGGCCTGATTCTTTCAATGTCTTTCGTTCACAATAAGGACACGGTGAACATGACAATTTAGGAGCAAAAATCAAAAGCCAGGGGATGCCTTAGGAGGTGCGTATATTCTACATCTCTAATCGACCGAGTAATGAGAAACAACAGATTTTGGGTATTGATTGACAAAAATCATCACAAAAGGATTGAGGCAACTATCTTAATTTATTCGATTTAAAGTCAATGGAGACCACGCAGCTGTGGTTCCTCAAAACCTACTGAAAAGTTGACAGGATGGTCAACTGGCCCTTCAATCGGTTAATTGATCTTGATTCACTACCCATACCTCGAAAAGACAAAAATGAAAAAGGAACCGTATCACTTTTGTATACACTCGATTGCAAAAACGTTGACACCTAATAAGCTTGATTCACGAACGACAAGACCCAACACCTTTATGGGAAATGTTCGCACAGATACATAATTAGTGATTTACTTCTCTCATTATTCATGGAAAAATCTTTTCTCATGATAAAACGTTTTCTTCCGGGAAAGTTTGGATAGCTCTTATCATTCATTACGTCCAACTTATGGTTATTATAAACGCTTGTTGCGTGTCAACGTTTTTGCAATCGAGTGTATAATCTGGATATATTTGCCAAATGGCCCTCAACTGACAGCACACTTTGTTTACTTAATACAAAATCAATGCTGTATCCAATTTGAAATGTACAATGTAAAGCACCTCCTTTTGACTACTTCGCTAATACCAGTAACTTCTTTACGATGGACTCCTCATAAAAACCCCTCTCTCATTCCTAGGCCGAGTGGAAATTTTAGTAATATAGAACAGTTATCCAATAGTTTTTTTTTTCGGTCAATTGAGTCAGACCCTATGACCAACTTGTTAAGTAACGACAGGGGTCTTATCGTCGTAAGTAGCGATAAACTCGTGATAAAATGGTAGAAACGATATCAATTCAGTGCGTAAATTTGTTTCACGCTTTTTTACGACGCTTAGTAATTAGAGTTCAAATGCGGCAACCGTGTCAACCCAACTGTAATTTACATAATCAGTGATGTCTAACATGTTTTGTGATGGCGAAAAAAAACGTTTTGCGCACGCGCAAGTCACTGAAGTCTCGTCTTATCTGACTTTCACTCACGTTCTGCATATTTCTTTAATCCTTTACATAGGAAGGTAAGATCCACAAAATAAAGAGCCTCTTCCGTGGGTTCCAGGCGCCCCTAAACCGATAACCATCAACTAAGTCTTGGAATACTAGTTACTAATTGCAATCTTAGTATGTAAGCTGCCGAGTTACACCGCTTGAGTCTTAGACCAACAACATTATGGCTAAAGTGACCAATTAGTTTACATAAACCGGACTTATAACACACGATTAACAGCAACCATTCTCTAGACGCTGATGATGACTTCCGCTTAGGCAGTCAAACGTCGGTCTGCGTTCCCGGAAACGGAAAAATCTGCTAATATTTCGGAATGTTCTTTTGATCGATTGTTCCAGCCGTGACGTGCTATCTTCCCGAGAGCGGGACCCAAACCCAAACCCAAACCCAGACCCAAACCCAGATGGTAACTTCGAAATGATCCATGGAAGGTTAAAGGATGAGGGAGGTGCCGTTTCTTCACCATCCCGATCTTCTTCGTAAATTGGTCTGCGGCACATCGGGCAAGTAACACTAATGAAGTCATGGTAAGGGTAAAAACAAATAAAGAATATAAACATGTATAGCAATGGCACTTGCAACAAAAAATGACGCACGGTTTCTCGAATAGTTTTTTTCCCGTCTATTGCTTTGTGTTTTTTACCTACATGCATTTCTTTCAGAAATTGTGCTTTTTTTACTGCACACCAAGTATTTACTCTTTTGTAAGTTCAGTTTAGACTCACGATTTTCAGGGTGGCCTAGGTTTAACAGGCAAGATGTATGATGATAACAAGGCGCTTTGTTTCCACTTAAACCTTTACACCCTAACATTAGTATTCATATTCTCCATACTGTTTTCTGTACATTTATTGAGATGCTGACAAGGAGAATTTGTCCAATAATCGGGAGATTTTCTAGCTGGTGGTCATTTCTTTTGTTCTCATGACATCAATAAGTAATTCAGTGGTGATATTGTAAGGAAAAACTAGATGCTGGTCACCCTTAGGGGTAAAGGGTTAGTGACAAATAAGGGCAAAACTCTATGCGCGTTCAATACATCTCTCAAAATCTAAAAAGCATTTTAGGGAAATTTTAAGAGATATATTACCTTCCAGATTGCACAAGATTTATTGCACAGTCTTTGTGGACCATATGAAAGCACGGGAAAATGATTGCTCCGGAAAATACCTCCTGAAGAAAACAGAGAAATGTTAATCCCATTGGCTCTCGTCGTTGTCCTAAGTGTTCAGTTGTGGCAAGTTGGTGGTGTTCCGTAACATTTCTTACTAACCACTTGATGATTACTTGTTGTGTAGCTTTCTTCGGTGTAAATTACAATTTTAATTAACCAGTTCAGTTGAAATGTACACATAGCTCAATTAATATATCGTTTGGAAGTTTATCTTTCTATCGAAAATAAAGAGCTTCCCGATTATACTCGCTACTTTTTGGGCATCAACTGAAGGAAGAGATCTCCCCGTCAGATTAATGTATCCACTTAATGTGGACGGATCTGCGATAGAAATAGATGAAACACTTTTAAGAACTAGTCTTTTCTATATAAGCTTTCGAAATCACTGACCTCCAAACAAATGGCGCATGGATCGTGACCTCGGTCAGGAAAACATTGGTGGTTATCCTGCAGAGTTTTCCCCATACATACGTTGCACGTGGAACAATGAAAATGATTTTTCTTGTTCTCCCTTAAATAAGCGTTTAATAATGATTAGCTTTTAATAACAGAACTTCTTCGAATGATACAATACGTGAAGTAGAACCCTGATATTAAGACGTTTAGGTGCTTTGAGTATAATAGCACAACAACTCCGGGAGATGACCAAAAGCATGGTAGTCCAAAATTGGGGCAAAAGTGACTGGAAAATGAAATGCAATAAAAAAAACCAAACCACGGGGAATTACGGTGAACACAGCCTAACACTTTCAAGCTTTATCTAACAGATTGTCATAGCCGGTCCCTCGGAACAACAAACAACCTCCTTTTGCGTCATCTATTTCAGGTCACTCCTTGCGAAGAAGTTTGAATGGAGCACTGAGTTCCGACCAAAACTGCAGTAAGCTCTTGCTTTGAGTGGTGATGTAAATAAATAAGTTGCAAGTTTACACTCAAATTACCTGCAGGTTTTGCACTCATCGCAGTGGTAAGGATCCACTTGGTAATCAATCAGGAGTTGGCATTTGCTGCAATAATAGTCAGCAAAAGACCTCTTACAATTCTCACAGTTCTTAGAGATCTACAACAGAAAACAAGCATCATGACTGAAAATCGTCAAGCAAGGACTCTAATCAACACAAACCCTTGAGTTTAATGATAGAAACATAGCCGAAAAGACTATAAACAGCGGAGCTAACTTCAAGCTTAATTCATGTAATGTTGATTTGCTACTGTCTTCGCCATTGTTATCGTTGTTGTGCCTATTCCATTTCTAGAGTAAATACCATTTGTGTCCGACCACAGGCGGTACATTCAATATCAGTTGCATCCAGCGCTGTCGCTTTGGGGTGCGGAGACTCTGCATCTTTAACTTTCAAATTCCAACTTTGACTATTTTGTGAAACAGCTTTCCATTACTCGTCTCTGAGGCAATATTTTCATCAATTTCTACTGAGCACGTTGACACTACTGTCTCACTAAAAGATCCCACGCTAGAGGCATATAAACCGTTATGAGGAAGAAGTGAAGGTATCTACCACCAACAATTTTAGAGTTCACTATTCACCTACAATTACAAACACACATTTTCAAAAGTGAGAGACCTGTGGTAAACAATGCGGGTGTCACGTAAATCTCTATTTCAATGAGTTTAACTGAAATCTGGGAAATTATCTGTCGATTCTATTTGGTTTCCTCTGTTTGAATAGCCACGTATTCAAGACCTTAGCGTTGATTTTGCCTTGGTCCAGTTCTTTTTCTTTAACATTTTACATTCTTGAATATTTAATATGCAGGGAACGTTTAAGATAATGCTTACTTTGGGCCTCCCCAGATTGTGATGTCGAGATCTCGGGCAATGTCTTATTTTCCTCTCCTTCGATCCCAAGCTTCTCCACTTGTACAGCTACATCTCCCAAATTGTCACCGGCTTCCGCGCCGCCGCTCGTCCCCTCGAGGCCTTCGTCAGCTTCGGAAGCCTCTGGTAATGGTTTATCTTCCTCCTGTTTTCTCGTGCGATCCTCCGCTGGGGAAGCCGCGGTTGCCAAACTTGCATCTAGTCCCGTGCTCTCCGTAGTCTGTTCGGAAAGCTCTTCAACCTCTTCAGTGTTAGGGGTCTCTATCAACGGTTTATTTTCCTCTGGTTCTTTCACGCGCTCCTCCTCTTGCGCAGCCATAAACTGGTTATGACATTTGTGGCAGGGATAACGGTCGCTTTCAGGGCAGCATTTGAAGTGAATCATACAGGTATCCTTCCCGTAATGTGGACAGAATCATTTACTAACAGGGAAGCGACTTAAAACTTGCTCAACATGAACTCGGCCTTATCTTTAACATTCCTTTCACTAAAGTTGTGCGTGCTTTCGAATAACGTTTTAAGCTTCGTCAATTAAGAAGCTTTCCGACATTTTAGCTTTAAGGGCTATAACCATCCACCAGTTTACGATTTACAAGTCTAATAAAAAAAACGCGGAGAAATCATGCGAAATACCCCTCTCAAAGTTAGTTGATTCAGACGTCTAGTGACGACAACTTCAGCAGTTACAATGGTTGCGATGTTTTTGGCGTGTGTTCATGCAAATTTCATGTTACGCAGGTCGTCACGCTGTTTCGATTTCTCTAGAACAAATATGAATTAACTAATAGGCAAAACATACTCTACTTTCACGATCTGTATTTTCGTATTTCTCAGAGAAAAATTTCCTAATAGTTTCTAGGGTAGGCTAGCAAATTCCTCAGAGGACCCCAAGCGTCCCTCGTTCAACAAAGACTACTGATTTGTTTCAGACTTTCGTAATTTGAGCTTCCTTTCTTTTCTTTGCGTAAAGGAAAGTTAACTTGAAATATTCAAAGCTTTAAAATGTCAGAATTACGCCTTAGTCAGTTAATCTGTGGACAGTCTAAAGTTTAGTTCTCTTTGGATAACGCATCATGTTTCAAAATTGATTGATAACTCGTGTGTCAAAAATAGAAAGGAATTTTCCCTAGCATATAAACTTTCAGTTGCAACACTAAAGTTCATGCAATTTGCACCAGATATCAGATTGCGAGACACGTATATTTTACAGAGCTCCTTGCATGTGTATCGAACATAACTTGATGATTCGAATTATTTTCGTATTTCTCAGAGAAAAATTTCCTAATAGTTTCTAGGGTAGGCTAGCAAATTCCTCAGAGGACCCCAAGCGTCCCTCGTCCGACAAAGACTATTGTTTTGTTTCAGACTTTCGTGATTCGAGCTTCCTTTCTTTTCTTAGCGTTTTCTCAAAATTGATTGATAACTCGTGTGTCAAAAATAGAAAGGAATTTTCCCTCGCATATAATCTTTCAGTTGCACCAGATATCAGATTGCGAGGTAGGTATATTTTACAGAGCTCTTTGCATGTGCATCGAACATAACTTGATGATTCGAATTATTTCCGTATTTCTCAGAGATAAATTTCCTAACAGTTTCTAGGGTAGGCTAGCAAATTCCTCAGAGGACCCCAAGGGTCCCTCGTCCGACAAAGACTACTGATTTGTTTAAGACTTTCGTAATTTGAGCTTCCTTTCTTTTCTTAGCGTTCCCGACGGGGGTAAAATCTAACAATATGATAAATTTTTCATTAAGGGACAGTCGCTTCTCTTGAACAACAGGTACGCTGAAGTAGAGGTGCGTTTAGGTAAGTAAATGAAACTGAGCTACTGGTTCTTACTGTTTTGAGTCGAGTCGTTGTTGAATGCAAACATGTACGAAATTAGTTAGTAGATATGCGAGGCATACTCTTTCCGCTTGAAAAACAGAACTTGGTTTAGGCGAGGAAATAACATGAACGGTCGAATACGCATCACATGACTCGTATTTTTTTTCCGTTGTTAACGCTGCTGTACGGTCAACGATCTCATTCACTACACTGGAACTCTTGAAAGCTTGCACAGCTTAACATTTGTAACCCGAATTTGATATATATTTTTGTATTAGGCGGCGGGAGCTGCGCAAATTCTACCCATTACCTAAGTAAGGGTAAGAACAAATGTTACATTTACATATCTACAATTGCAAGCAACTGGTCCTGTGTGAATAGGTGGGCAAAGGATTTTCTCCAGGTTGCTTGTTCTGTTTGGGCTTCTGAGGTGTTTGTTGGTGCCTTAGGTATACAGAAAAGAAAAGTTCAAGAAAGCAAGGAAACATCTCGTTCGAATTACTTAAATTCCTTGCTACTTACGTCGTGTTTATTTCAGTCAGGCTTCATGATCACCTTCAATTGCATTATTAAGATCCACCGCACTGACTTTAAGAATCAAGATAAAGATGATCGTTGTTCCAAGAAAAGAAAAGCCGTAAGAACTTTGCCAGAGTACAGTCTGCCAGTAGACTTATTCGAAACAAATTGAAAATTCTCCTTAATTAAGGCATACGCTGCATATATGTTTCAAAAATCATTTTTTGAATCATTCGATGTACATCAGCCTTGCTTTAATATTGTTCAATTACTTTTAGCTGTTTAGATCCATGTACAGATCATTTCTGAGCTAGGAATTGCTGCGGATCGGAACCATTTCGGGGCCTGTATATTTTGTTGCTGCTTTCTTCCTATAATTGTGACTAAAGTTCCGACGGCGGCATATATGACGCAGCCTATCCACTTCAAAAAAATCTGGAAAGATCTAAATTCATGGGCTGTAAATTCCGTAACGGAAAGCTGTGTCTCTGCGAAAATTAATGTAAAAAAAGGGACTGCAAACGTATATGAAAACGCTTTATGCACCCCTCCACTATAATACTGAGCGATCAACGATTCTCTTGCGAAACGAAACATAACAGTTTTCTTTCCAACTTCCTACATATCGCAACGACTGTTTCTTGTTTCTGCAAACTCCTTACAGGCAGTTGGCTGGATTTTGTTGAAAACGAAGTTTTCAGATCCTCATTTTAGGGTGAAAAATGAACTTTGAAGCAGTTGTTCTAGACGCGAAACTGAAAATTCGTCTATGTGAACTCCAGTTAAAAATATCTTAACCCGTAATGTTCACATGCGCTTAAGCCCCGTTCAATCTGTCATGATAGTTGATGATAGTCGATGATAGTTTCAATTTTCATTCACCATCATGAACGATCATGTTTGCATTGAAATGGTTCATAATAGTTGATGATAGTTGAAAAAATCACGCAATGAGATCCCGTAATTGTAAACAAATATGGCGCGCGATGAGGTCAGCAATTTCGGTAGCATGTCAAATTTTCGTGAAGAAGGTGTGAGTTGAAAATATTAAAGCCTACTGGGCGATGATGAGAATGAGCTAGGAAACATGCTGAGAAATTTTGAGGGCTAACTTAGTCAATTTACCATTTGCCAATTTCGGTTTGAGGCCCTTTTGGAAAAACTGCTGTCATTCACTATCATCCGCTCGTTCAAACGGCAAAAATTTAAAAAAGAAAAAGATGTAATCAATGAGTTGCGTCCTGATTGTGAGCGCCTAGATTGGTGGTAGATATTATTGCTTGACAATATCAACAGTATTACGATAACCATAGGTTAAAAGTACCCATACTGTGTTAGCTATGTTCGTGTGATATTTACTCATATTTTTCTTGACATTTCTTGGTAAATCAGTTATTGATGACTTAATCCTTCGTGATATTTTCTTACGTTTTGTTTTTCGTACAGATGAAAAATTGCGCCAATTGATTCAGGATAAAGAAACACAGGAACTGCAAAAAGCGTTGGAGGAAAGCCCTGTGGTCAACTCAAGCCAACACTAAAGAGCCTCGTTAAGGAACAATTCAACATGGACCACTATTCTTGGAATTAAAGATAGCAAAATGGCTTAAGATAACCCGCTTTAATGCACTGTTTAGATTTATATGCCCATTAATTAAAAGAGCGTAAACTTTACGTTAGAATTGTGAATTAAAACGACCTTGTTTAATTGATATTCATATGACTGAGTTTCAGTGAAAAACGTCTCGTTCATATTTTTGGAGTTTCATCTCCGTTTGCACTGAAAAGATGTTATGAGTAGTGCTCGCCAAACACACCTAATTACGCTCTTAACTTTTCAGTCTTATCCATGTGTTTTTTCTTTTTATCTTATAAACTGCGGACTTTGGCGCCACTCGGTCAGGCTGATGAATGAACGGCGAAGCCTTCACGGTTCTCAGCACAAGGTAGTTTGTCAGAACTTTCACGGATTATGGCGGCTAAAATACTAAAAAACCCGTATCGCTGACAGACAGTGAGGTTCAAACTTTCTTAGAAGGGGAGAAAACCAATATACCAAAATAAAAACCGAAAGTTATGTATTCAGTGGCTTTGGTGTTGGCATTTTTCGCTACCGAGAACGAAAATCGGCAACTGGAAGATTCGCCATCGGCCCATTTTAGCCTTTTACCTGAGAGACTTCTTCTGTCGGTAAGGACAAAGTCAATAACTGAAAATTACAAAAATTGAAAATTACGATCATTGTCGTTTTTGTAATCATGATGCAACGCATTTTTCTATCTTAAGAGTTAGCGCCAACGCACTCTGCGATTGTTATTCGGGGATTATCGATTCATTTATTTTCTTTCATCAATGTAGTCGGATTTTCTTGTCAGGAAAAGGCTATTACGTTCATATGATAAACAAAATAATACATGGTTGCGTGTAGATATGGAATTTCTCTTCTCGTGTTCAACTCGACATCTCACTCGTGAGCTATCGAGTTAAAAACTCGAAGAGAAATTCCATATCTACACGGGCCTATGTATTATTCTCTATTTATAAAAGTAGGCAAAATGACGTGTGCGTTGTGTCGCAGCTTATGTTGCCCTCTAACAGTGTCCTGACTTTCTCCTGGTTTTACCTAATTGTTGTTCTAGGAGTAAATAAGAAAATAATTCGGTGTTTCACCTTTTCTCGCTGTTGGTCTAAAGCCATTACATAAAACAATCCAAGCGACGAGTATTCGAGAAAATTACTTTTTCTGACAGCTGATAAACTGTAAAATCAGTGGAAAAATATTTCATTCTTTCCATAGAAATCAGTTTTCTAGTTTATTTCTTTTTCAGTTTTTCCTTTCCTTCCCCGGAAAAAATTCGATTCCCAAACAGTTAGTATTCATTGATAGAGGGACTGGTAAACTGCGACGGTTTATGCGACTCCATATCAGCTGTTTGTGTCTTAGGTTTTCAAAGAGGATTCTTCGTGAACGCTTTTAGCTACGTCTGATTTCCCCTTTCGATGAATCTTTTTTCTTTTAATTTCTCCAAAAAGAGCTAATTTGTACACCAATATCATGCAATAAAAAATATAGGTTTCCATACTCGCTCACGAGCTATAAACAATCGTACCTCCTTATCCTGAGGCACGAGCACCAAATGTGAATTATGAATGTATGTTACATGTTCAAGCGTAAACAAAGTTGAAGAACACCATCCTTCTTGGGTTGTGAAAATGGCAATTCAGCCAAAATACATACGCTAGTGATAAAACCGCGCAATTCCTCTCTGCAAGTGGAATCTGAAGGCTGATATGCACAGGATCTGAGGAAATTTTAGACTTAAATCGTTGGCTTATTATATCAGATGTTTTCATTATTTCTTTTAACTTCGAAGTCTTATTTACCGTTGTCCATTTGAGGTAATCAATCATTATTCCACTGTAGTAGACCATGGGGTCAGTGAAATGTACCGACCCTCGTCATAAATGTTTGGCACTTTGAGTACACAATCAAATACTTCCACAAAAGTTAGGAAAGCCCTGCGAGAAAGGGTGATAATCTTTAACCGCTCAAAACTCGATCTAAGCTCCTTAAACCAAGCCACCCAAGATTCATAACCCTGATTGTAATAATTGTTTCGTGCTGGTCTACATTCTTCTGCAATGGTAGATAGTGTTATACGAATGACTTCATAAATATGGGCACACAGAGCAGGTCACTTCAGGAAATGCCATACTGTGCAATAATATGCGGGTTTTGGCGGTATTTCATGTGAGCGAGTTTCTTTCAATGTCTTCCGTTCATAGTAGGGACACGGTGAACATGAAAATTTAGGAGCGAAAATCGAAAACCAGGAGATGCCTTATGAGGTACATATATTCTAGATCTCTAATTGACCAAGTAATGAGAAACAATAGATTTTGGGTATCGATTGATTAAAATCATCACAAAAGGATCGAGGCAACTGTCTTAATTTATTCGATTTAAAGTCAATGGAGATCACGCAGCTGTGGTTCCTCAAAGCCTACTGAAAAACTGATGGGCTGGTCAACTAGCTCTTCAATCGGTCAATTGATTCACTACCCGTACCTCGAAGAGACAAAAATGAAAAAGGAACCACATCGCTTTTGTATATAATCTGATATATTTGCCAAATGGCCCTCAATTGACAACACACTATGTTTACTTAAAACAAAATCAATGCACTCCTCAGGAAACCGCTGTATCCAATTAGAAATGCGCAATGTAAAGCACCTCCTTTCGACTACTTCGTTAATACCAGTTACTTCCTAATGAAAGGCTCCTTATAAAAACCTCTCTCTGATTCCCAGGCCGAGTGGAAATTTGAGTAATATAGACCGGTCATCTAACAGTTTTTTTTTTCAGTCAATTGAGTCAGACCCTATGACCAACTTGATAAGGATGACGAGGTGTTATAGACGTAAATAGCTATTAATTCGTGATAAAACGGTAGAGACGATATCAATTCAGTGCGTAAATTTGTTACCACGCTTTTTTGCGACGCTTAATAATCAGAATTCACATGAGACAACCATGTCAACTCAACTATAATTCACATAATCAGTGAAAAACTGACTTGCGCAAGTCACCTAAGTCTCGCGTGTAATCCTTTTCATAGGAAAGGTGAGATCCACAAAATAAAGAGCCTCTTTCACGGGTTCTGACTTCCACTTAGACAGTCAAAACGTCGGCCTAGGTGGATCAGACTCTTCACTATCCAATTGTAGGGGATGGCCGTGAAAAGGTCTCAAAAATAAACCGAAATATGAATAATAAGCCAAATGAAAACCTCGAACGGATCCATTGAAACGAGGTGTAGGATGAGGCAGGCTCCGTTTCTTCATTATCCTTACGTTCTTGGAAAATAGGTCTGCGGCACATCGGGCACCTAACACTAATGAAATCATGGTAAAGATAAAATACATGAAGAATATAAATATGTATAGCAATAGCACTTGCAACAAAAAAATCGAATAGTTCTTCCCCGTCTATTGTTTTGTTTATTTTTTACCTATATGCATTTTTTTCCAGAAATTGTGCTTTTTTTTTTCCTGCACACCAAATATTGGGCTCTTTAGTAAGTTCAGTTTAGACTCACGATTTTCAGGATGGCCTTGGTTTCACAGACAAAATTTATGATGACAACAAGGTACTTTGCTTCCCCTTAAACCTCGTAAAAAATAAGGGTAACATTCTATGCGCTTTAAATACATCTTTCAAAATCTAATATCCTAGACGCAGACACAATAAACTGGAAAACACATCTTAGAGAAATTTTAAAAGATATATTACCTTCCAGATTTCACAAGACTTATTGCACAGTCTTTGTGGACCATATGAAAGCACGGGAAAATGATTGCTCCGGAAAATACCTCCTGAAGAAAACAGAGCAATATTAATCCCTCTGAAAAATGACCTTGTCGTTGTACTAAGTGTTCAGCTATGGTAAGTTGGTGGTGTTCCGTATCATTTCTTACCTGCCACTTTACGATTACTTTCTTTGGTGCAAATTACATTTTTAAGTAACCAGTTCAGTTAAAATGTATGTACACATAGCTTAATTGCTATATCGTTTGGAAGTTTATATTTCTATCGAAAATAAAGAGCTTCCCGATCATACTCGCTACTATTTGAGCATCAACCGATGCATCCACTTAATGTGGATGGATCTGCGATAGAAATAGATAAAACACCTAGAAGAACTAGTCTTTTCAATATAAGCTTACAAAATCACTGACCTCCAAACAAATTGCGCATGGATCGTGACCTCGGTCGGGAAAACATTGATGGTTATCCTTCAGAGTTTTCGCCATACATATGTTGCACGTGGAACAATGAAAATGATTTTTCTCGTCCGCCCTTCAAGAAGCGTTCAATGATTAGCTTTTAATAAGAGAACTTCTTCGATTTTCGAATGATACAATACGTGAAGTAGAACCCTAATATTAAGACGTTTAGGTGCTTTGAGTATAATAGCACCACAACTCGGAGAGAAGACTAAAAGCATGGTTGAAAATAAAGTCCAAAATTGGAGCAAAAGTGACAGGAACATGAAATGCAATGAATTGCAAAGAAGTCTGAATGGAGCATTGAGTCCCAACCAACACCGCAGTAACTTCTTGCTTTGAGCGGTGATGTAAATAAATTAGTTGCAAGTTTTAAACTTAAATTACCTGCAAGTTTTGCACTCATCGCAGTGGTAAGGATCCACCTGGTTACTAATCAGAAGTTGGCATTTGCTGCAATAATAGTCAGCAAAAGACTTCTTACATTTCTCACAGTTCTTGGAGATCTACAACAGAAAACAAACATCATGACTGAAAATCTCGATACATGTGCGTCTGCTTCTCACTCAAAACCGTGAAGCAGGCACTCTAATCAAAAGAAACCCTTGAGTTTAAAGGTAGAAACATGGCCGAAAAGACTTTAAACAGTCTGGCATTTGTTGCTAATTTGCTACTTTTTTCGTCACTGTTTTCGTTGTTGTTCCAATTCTATTGCTGGAGTAATACCATTTGTATCAAACCGCAGGTGGTACATTTGATATCAGTTCCATCCAGCGCTGTCACTTTGGGGTGCGGAGACTCTGCATCTTTAAGTTTCGAAGTCCAACTTTGACTATTTTGTGGAACAGCTTTTCCATTAATCGTCTCTGAGGCAATATTTTCATCAATATTTACTAAGCACGTTGACTCCATTGCCTCACTAAAAGGTCCCACGCTAGAGGCTCTGTGAGTTCCATTTTTGGTTGCTGGACAATCTGGAAAATCTGAATTTTTGTAGTAGAGATCTCGTTACAATTTTATACGATAAACCGTTATGAGGAAGAAGCAAAGGTATCTACCATCAACCATTTTAGAGTTCACTATTCACCTACGATTACAAACACATTTTCACAAGTGAGAGACCTGTGGTAAACAATCTGGATGTCATGTAAATCTCTATTTCAATGAGTTTCATTGAAATCTGGGAAATTATTTGTCGATTCTATTTGGCTTCCTCTGTTTGAATGGTCACATATTCAAGACCTAGATGTTTATGATTTTTCCTGGGTCCAGTTCCTCTCTTTTTGAACATTTTACATTCTTAAATATTTAATGTACAGGGAACGTTTAAGATAATACTTACCTTGAGGCCCCCCAGATTTTTTTGTCAAGCTCTCGTCGTTGCCAATTTCAAGGCGCTCGTGCAATGTCTTCTGATTTCCCCCTCCTTCGCTCCCACGCTTCTCCACTTGTGCAGCTACATCTGCCGAATTGTCACCGGCGTCCGCGCCGTCGCCCGTCCTCCCGAGGCCTTCGTCAGCTTCGGAAGCCTCTGGTAACGGTTTACTTTCCTCCTGTTTTCTCGTGCAATCCTCCGCTGGGGAAGCCGCAGTCGCCAAACTCGCACTTAATCCCGTGCTCTCTGTTGTCTGCTCGAAAACCTCTTCAACCTCTTCATTGTTGGAGTTCTCTACCCGCATAAACGGTTTATTTTCCTGTTGTTCTTTCGCGCGCTCCTCCTCTTGTGCAGCCATAAACTGGTTATGACATTTGTGGCAGGGATAACGGTCGCTTTCAGGGCAGCATTTGAAGTGAATCGTACAGGTGTCCCTCCCGTAGTGTGGACAGAACCATTTACTAACAGGGAAGCGACATAAAACTTGTTCAACATGAACTTAGCCTGAACCTTAACATTCCTTTCACTTAAATTGTGCGTGCTTTCAAATAACGTTTTAAGCTTCGTCAGTTTAGAGGCTTTTCGACATTTTAACTTTAAGGGCTATAACCATCCACCAGTTTACGATTTATAAGTCTAATTAAAAAACGCGGAGAAATCGTGCGAAATACCTCTCCCAAAGTTAGTTGATTCAGGCGTCCAGTGACGACAACTTCAGCAGTTACAATGGTTGCCATGTTTTACAATCAATTACCATTTCTCTCACTCTATAAAAGAGTATGAAAATCTTTAAAACAGTCAGTATAGCACAAATCCACTTTACCTTGTGTCTGCGTTATCGTGAGTAGAGTCCAATTCCATATTAACGGTTGTTGACTAAACTTAATTGAAACTATTGTCTCCCTATATCAAAAATGAAGAGCGACGGGGTTTCTCATGATACGTTTCTCATGATACGGAACAAATATGAATAATTTATAGGCAAAACGTACTCTACTATCACGATTTGTATTCCTCTCATCCTCCATTTCTTTAATTATGAAAGCAGTTATTTCCCCTAGTTTGGTGATGTTTAAGTGCAAACAAAATTGCAGTATCATCTCGTTGGAGAACGCATCATGTTTCAAAAGTGATTTATAACTCGTGTATTAAAAATAGAAAGGAATTTTCCCTCGCATATAGTCTTTCAGTTGCGACACCAAAGTTCATGCAATTTGCACCAGACATCAGATTGCGAGGAAGGTCTATTTTACAGAGCTCCTTGTATATGCATCGAACATGACTTGATGATTCGAATTATTTCCGTATTTCCGTATAAATTTCCTAACAGTTTCTAGGTTAGGCTAGCAAATTCCTCAGAGAACCCCAAGCGTCCCTCAACCAACAAACATTATTGAAATGTTTCAGACTTAGTAACTCGAACTTCCTTTCTGTTTTTAGCGCAGAGGAAAGTTTACTTGAAATAATCAAACCTTTAAAATGTGAGAACTACGCCTTAGTCAGTTAATCTGTGGACAGTCTCAAGTTTAGTTCTCTTTGGATAACGTATCATGTTTCAAAATTGATTTATAACTCGTGTGTTAAAAATAGAAAGGAATTTCCACTCGCATATAATCTTTCAGTTGCAACACCAAAGTTCATGCAATTTGCACCATACATCAGACTGCGAGGAAGGTCTATTTTACAGAGCTCCTTGCATGTGCATCGAACATGACTTGATGATTCGAATTATTTCCGTATTTTTTAGAGATAAATTTCCAGACAGTTTCTAGGGTAGGCTAGCAAATTCCTCAGAGGACCCCAAGCATCCTTCAACCAACAAATATTATCGAAATATTTCAGACTTTCGTAATTCGAACTTCCTCTCTGTTTTTAGCGCAGAGAAAAGTTTACTTGGAATATTCAAACCTTTAAAATGTGAGAATCACGCCTTAGTCAGTTAATCTGTGTAGAGTCTCAAGTTTAGTTCTTGAACTAGAGGAGACATTTTTCAGACGACGATTGATAAGACAGAATAAAGGAAAGCCCCCACACAGTGTGGACGAAAATGTAAACAATTCTTTTAACGTCCTGTTTTTTAAGAGTGGCACAAGAACAAAACTTCAACTTCTTCATTGTTAGGGTTCTCTATCAACGGTATATTTTCCTCTTGTTCTTTCGCACGCTCCTCCTCTTTTGCAGCCATAAACTGGTTATGCTATTTGTGGCAGGGATAGCGATCGCTTTCAGGGCAGCATTTGAAGTGAATCGTATAGGCGTCCCTCCCGTAGTGTGGACAGAACCATTTACTAACAGGGAAGCGACATAAAACTTGTTCAACATGAACTTAGCCTGAACCTTAACATTCCTTTCACTTAAATTGTGCGTGCTTTCGAATAACGTTTTAAGCTTCGTCAGTTTAGAGGCTTTTCGACATTTTAACTTTAAGGGCTATAACCATCCACCAGTTTACGATTTATAAGTCTAATTAAAAAACGCGGAGAAATCGTGCGAAATACCTCTCCCAAAGTTAGTTGATTCAGGCGTCCAGTGACGACAACTTCAGCAGTTACAATGGTTGCGATGTCTTACAATCAATTTTCATTTCTCTCACTCTATAAAAGAGTATGAAAATCTTAAAAACAGTCAGTATAGCACAAATCCACTTTACCTTGTGAGTAGATTGTCTGCGTTATCGTGAGTAGAGTCAATTTCCATATTAACAGTTGTTGTCTTTCTCACCTTCCCTCGAAGCGATAGACAAATACGGCAAACATGCCCAATCGTCCTTAAAACTTTTCCGCTGTGGACAAAATGAGTGGACTAAACTAGATTGAAACTATTGTCTCCCTATATCAAAAAAAACAGCGACGGAGTTTTTCCCTTAATAATTATAGTTTGGTGATGTTTAAGTGCAAACGAAATTGCAACATCATCTCGTTGGAGAACGCATCATTTTCCTTTCTGCTTTAAGCGCAGCGGACAGTTAACTTGAAATATTAAAACCTTTGAGATGTGAGAATTACGCCTTAGTCAGTTAATCTCTGTACAGTCTCAAGTTTAGTTCTCGTTGGATAACGCATCATGTTTCAAAAGTGATATATAACTCGTGTGTTAAAAATAGAAAGGAATTTTCCCTCGCATATAATCTTTCAGTTGCAACACCAAAGTTCATGCAATTTGCACCATACATCAGATTGCGAGGAAGGTATAATTTACAGAGCTCCTTGCAAGTGCATCGAACATGACTTGATGATTCGAATTATTTCCGTATTTCTTAGCGATAAATTTCCTAACAGTTTCTAAGGTAGGCTAGCAAATTCCTCAGAGGACCCCAAACGTCCTTCAACCAACAAACATTATTGTTTTGTATCAGACGTAGTAATTCGAACTTCCTTTCTGTTTTTAGCGCACAGGAAAGTTTACTTGGAATATTCAGACCTTTAAAATGTGAGAATTACGCCTTAGTCAGTTAATCTGTGTACAGTCTCAAGTTTAGTTCTCGTTGGATAACGCATCATGTTTCAAAAGTGATTTGTAACTCGTGTGTCAAACATAGAAAGGAATTTTCCCTCGCATATAATCTTTCAGTAGCAACACCAAACTTCATTCAATTTGCAACATACATCAGATTGCGAGGAAGGTCTATTTTACAGAGCTCCTTGCCATTGCATCGAATATGACTTGATGATTCGAATCATTTCCGTATTTCTTACCCTAGAAACTGTTAGGAAACTTATCTCTAGGCTAGCAAATTCCTCAGAGACCCCAAGCGTCCTTCAACCAACAAACATTATTGAAATGTTTCAGGCTTCAGTAATTCGAACTTTCTGTTTTTAGCGCACAGGAAAGTTTACTTGAAATATTCAAACCTTTAAAATGTGAGAATTACACCTTAGTCAGTTAATCTGTGTACAGTCTCAAGTTTAGTTCTCGTTGGATAACGCATCATGTTTCAAAATTCATTTATAACTCGTGTGTTAAAAATAGAAAGGAATTTTCCCTCGCATATAATCTTTCAGTTGCAACACCAAAGTTCATGCAGTTTGCACCAGACATCAGATTGCGAGGAAGGTATAATTTACAGAGCACCTTGCAATTGTGTCGAACATGACTTGATGATTCGAATCATTTCCATATTTCTAAGAGACAGATTTCCTAACAGTTTCTAAGGTGGACTGGCAAATTCCTCAGAGGACCCCAATTTTTTTGTTTCAGACTTTGGTAATTAGAAATTCCTTTCTATTTTTAGCGCCGAGGAAAGTTAACTTGAAATATTCAAACCTTTAAAATGTAGGAATTACACCTTAATCGGTAAATCTGTGTACAGTCTCAAGTTTAGTTTTTAAACTAGAGGAGAAATTTTTTTTGACGACGATTGATCAAACAGAATAAGGGACAGCCTCCCACACAGCGTGGTGGAAAAATGCAAACAATTCTTTCAACGTCTTGTTTTTTAAGAGTGGCATCAGGAACACATTATGTGAACAACATCGACAAGGATAAAATCACTAAGAATGATTGAGTAGGAGTAGTTTTAATGGCAGTTTCCTAATTTTCTTCCTTATTTACGAAACACAAATTTGCTGGATGACTTGCTAACCGAGAAAATGTGAGTTTTCCAATCACTTTTTTCTATTAAGTAAAGCAAACCAAGAGGTCACCAAAAGGGAAAGTTCCCTCCGGCAGTAAAATCTAAGAACATGATAAATTTTTCATTAAGGGAGAGTCCCCGTTGATTTTGGAAGTAATAAAAGCTAGGTTAGTCTAGGTTGGGCTCAGTTCAGCTTTGGCTTGTCTTCAACAACAGGTACGCTGAAATAGAGGTGCGTTTAGGTAAGTAAATGAAACTGAGCTAGCACATAAATTATCGTTAACTACGGGTTCTAACTGTTTTGAGTCGAGTCGTTGTTGAATGCAAACATGTATGAAGTTAGCTAGTAGATATGCGAGGCATGCTCTTTCCGCTCGAAAAACAGAACTTGGTTTAAGCGAGGAAATAACATGAACGGTCGAATACGCATCACATGATTGGTATTCTTTTTCCATTGAACACTGCTGCGCGGTCAACGATCTCGTTAACTACAGCGGAACTCTTGAAAGCCTGCACAGCTTAAAATTTCTGACCTGAATTTGATATATATATTTATGTATTAGGCGGCGGGAGCTTCGCAAATTCTACCTATTACCTAGGTAAGGGTAAGAACAAATGTTGCATTTACATATCTACAAGCAACTGGTCTGGTTTGAATAGGTGGGCAAAGAATTTTTTCTAGGTTGCTTGCTCTTTTTGGGCTTCTGAGGTGTTTGTTAGTGCCTTAGGTATACAGAAAAGAAAAGTACAAGAAAGCACGGAAACATCCCGTTCGAACTACTTAAATTCCTTGCTACTTATGTCGTGTTTATTTCCGTCAGGCTTCATGATCACCTTGAACTGCCTTATTAAGATCCGCCGCACTGACCTTAAGAGTCAAGGTAAAGATGATCATTGTTCCAAAAAAAGAAAAGCCGTAAGAACTTTGCCAGAATACAGTCTGCCAGTAGACTTATTCGAAACAAATTGAAAATTCTCCTTAATTCAGAGATACGCTGCATAAGTGTTTCAAGAATCATTTTTGAATCATTCAATGTACATCAGCCCTGCTTCAATATTGTTCAATTACTTTTAGCTTTTTAGATCTATGTACAGATCATCTCAGAGCTTGGGATTACTGCGGAACGGAATCATTTCGGGGCCTGTTCATGTTACTAAAGTTCCGACGGCAGCATATCTGACGCGGCCTATGCAGTTCATAAAAATATGAAAAGACCTAAATTCATGGGCTGTAAAGTCCGTAAGGGAAAGCTATGTCTACGAAAATTAATTTAAAAATGGGACTGAAAACGTACATAAAAATGCTTTATGCGCCCCTCCACTATAAAAACGATCAACGATTCTCTTGCGAAACTAAACGTAGGAGTTTTCTTTCCAAAAACCAAAACGTCAGCTTTGTTACTCTTTACTGTGGCCAATTTACGTTATCAACACAATTAATAATACTAAATTTCTCTGTTATACTCTTCCACCGACGCAGCACCACAGTTTCTTTAGAAAATTAACCCCTTTATTCCAAGTACATGGTAGTTAATGATAGCTGATGATAGTGCATGATAGTTCGTGTTCAAACGCGCGTGATAGCTAACTTAAACTATCAACAACTATCATGACCGTTTGAACGGGGCTTTACATTGAAATACAAGAAAAAATTG